GAACCAGAGGGGTGTCAGCTTGCACAGAAACATCTGAATCCTCAGGTTCTGGGTCTGCGCAGACAACTTGAACACACACAGGGCTGAGTTCAGGGAGGGGCGTGGCCACCTTGGTGCACCCTGGTTTCATGTCTTCAAATGGATTTGTTATTGTAACAGACACTGGAGGGAGTTCTTCTTTCACAGGCTCTGGTGCAGTCTGCTCCACCTTTGGAGCCACTGGCTCATTAGCAGCTGTTGTCACACTGGTTTCAACTCTGCAAACAACACAGGTAATGAATGAAATTGAAGGAACAGATATCACTTGTTGCGCTGGAAACAGAAACATGGCACAGGACTCACATTTTCCTTGGTTTGAGCTGAGGCGCGGAGGCAACAGATGTGACGGGGATGACGGGGGAGGGAGGCGGAGAGCTGGCAGGTGGTGGAGTTGTAGCGCTCTCATCATCATCAATAATCTCCACCCTGCACATTTGTAGCCAAGCACACGTGCACACACACACATGAATGCATGTGGAGTTGGGTGTGCAACACACCCATAAAAACAGACAGACGTACAAACATTTGGTCACACTTGGATTCACAGGTTTTTCTTTTGGCTTCAGTGTCAGATATTTTAGAGGGAGAATTTACCTTTTAGCCATAAATGATGGAGTGACGGTGTCAGGTGCGTTTTCTTTCGACCTGTGGTTTTTCAACACACAGCTTTCATAAATACCACCATAAATTCTCGCCATTTATAAACATATGTGAGTGAAAAGTGCAATTTCTTTTTTCTTGTTTTTAATATGTAGCTCACTTCTTTTATAATTAAAGAAATCCAGAAACAGGTTGACTGTTCAGATTAGCATAAGGAGACATGAAACACACATACTCGTATTTCTTAGCAGCAGAAAGCACATAAGACCGTTGCCTGACTGTAGATTTCTTCAGAACATTGCTGGCTGCCTCCGTCCTGCGAAATGAATCATTATGATGTTAATGTAATCTCTTTTCTTGGGTGTGTGACCTCAAATTGGATGATGTTCTTTGCGCGAGGAGAGTCTCACCGTTTGTCCTGCTCCTCCTGGCTAAGCTGGCCCTCTTGGTTCTCCGAAGTGGGCCTCACAGTGTGGGGGGCTCTGAGGAACAGAAATGCAAACATACACCTAATGAAAAACCCATTTTCACCCAGCTGCCAGCAGTTCACAGGGAATCTGATTTGTGCGCACTCACATCCTCTTGTAGCTCTCCGAAGGTTTTTTGTTGAATTGTGTTGTTTTACTGCGAAGAGAAAGGAAAATTTGGGAAGCTGTGCATCACTGGTCACACTGTTAACTCTGCTCATTCAAGAAAGAGAAGCTCTTACCTAAAACCGTTAGATGTTGAGGAGGACGCAGGCTTTTCATCAAGTTTAGTGAAAACGCCTCTGAACGGAAAACAAAAAGAGTGAATAGATAAAAACCTTTTCTCTATGTAATCTATGATGTCCCATGCAGTGCTGTTGTCAGAGCTCAGATCTCCCTGTGTCTGGATGGATTGGAAGCCTAAACGCTTGAGCCAGAAAGTGACTCTAAACTCCGGAGCTATAATCCAAATGTTGTTGTAATTGTAAAAAAAATCTGCTAAATCTTGTACTGACAGTAAACCAGTAAACACACTGAAACCAAACACCACCAGAATGATGTGCTCATAATTTCACAAGTCAAGTCTTACCTGATCAGGAATCCTGACTTCGGGGGTCTAAGATCAAAAACAGAGAGTTTTTATCAGCACAATCGTGTTTTGTGGGAGGTTTGAAGGTGCTCGGTAGATGACTGAGTGACATGAGAAACCTGTGTTTACCTTTCAGCGTCAGGCTTGCTGGGTGGCGGAGTGGGTTTTGTTGGTGAAGACACTGGACTGGTCTCAATAGGGGCTCCATTCACACGGCCGGCTCTCACTTCTGCTAACCTGCATGGATGCACAGGATGTTGGTTTTGTCTAGTCAGGTAACTGAGTAATGGATAACATGGACAGAATAGGGGTGTCGCGATATACCAGTACTTACGATAACGTGATATTTAAAATAAAAATGAAATATTGATACTGTGTTAATAATACACATATGATAATACTGTGATGGCAGATGTTGGGACCCGTGAATCCTTTGTTTATCAGTTCCTCTGGTTGCCTTTTCACTATTCATTAAGCACAATTGTTTTGTTGTACTCTTTTATAAAGTTATGGTTACACACAAAACACACAATAAACAAAGTTACAGATGAATTTGACTGATAGTATCATTATTATTCTTCATCATTATTCTTTTAAGATATTGTGATAATAATGTTATCTTGAATTCTTTTGGCCACGATAATGGTGTAGGGGAAACTCTAATAGCGTGACAGTCCTACTTAAAACATGTGGTTTACCAGGGTTTCTCCTCCCCCGTCTCAGCCTGAGTTTCATCGCGGCGCTGCAACCAGCTCCCATCTCCCTTCAGCTTGGTCCGCACTTTGGTGGTACGAAACACAGCCGCTCTGTCCCCCTCTGAGACACAAACACGTGCACGTCACATACCCACACACCATCTGAGACACCATACACACTGTAGGCAGCATCCTAATGATATCCAAGTCACTGTCTGCTTGATAGCGTGCATGATTTTCAGTCCGCTTTGGGCCGACACACACCACATAATCAACCACTTGTGTTTTGCATTAAATCAGGGTAACGGCACAATTTACAGCGTCAACACTCTGAGACAGAGACATGCCCTTTGATGACCTCTGCCTTTATTGGAGGAACACATCATCACACATTCAGATCAGAGCAGTCACCTTTTCCGCTTGACATGGTGGTTCTAGATGTTTCTCTCTCTTCTTTGTTCTGCCTTCTCTTCAGGCCACCTACAAAACACATGGGCACCACATTGAGATTAGTTACATAGATCGTGTTAAAAGGAAGTGTAACAGCAAATTTCAGTGTATTATGACACAGTTACTAAATGGTCCTTCCCACACTGGGTTCCCTCCTAATTAGGAGCATGTGCTCTGTGAAGCATTCCTCAGTCTCATCCTTTAGACATGTAGATCATCCTGTCCTACCACTTTCAAAAAATACTGCTGTTTTTTAAATATGAATGGGCAGCACATACTTGATCACACATATGATCCTTTGTCTTTGGATACAAGGTATTATCACACAGAATGACTTATGTGATTGGGAAAATACTGCATCCTTTTCACACATATCCAAATTAGTTAACCTCAGAGTTATTTACAATCAAAAATGAACAGCTCAAAGGGAAACAGATTTCCCTAGGAACTTCAGAAAAAAAAAGGAAGACACTAATAAAACACTGATGAGCATTTGCTTATCTGAAAGTAGGCACAGGCTACAGCTTATGCAAAATTATGGCGCACTGCCAAATTCAGAATGCAGATGTAACTTGTAAAACTCCTGGGGCTGTGAATTCACTTCTTCTAAAAGCACGTCACCACAGTATCTCTTGAAGATATTGTCCTGAATACTGGTGACAGAAGAAATACACCGAGGGCTCAGAAAGCATATTTATTCTGGGTTTAACACATAAGTCCACACACGATAAATGATTAATGAGGAGCAATAGCATTTATGACAGAGCAAGGAGCAAGACAGACAACTCCACTGACAAGCAATTATGGCAGGGAAACACCCAGAAAAATGAGAGTAAACACTATCACCAGCTGACATTTTCAACAGTTTATATAGCATGATTGAACACTTTTAAACTCTCCGTTCTTACAGTTGATGATTACTGAAGCTCTACATTCAGAAAGTATCCAGATAACTTGCTGCATCATGTTGTAAATAACACAAACATCTGCCAGTCAGAGCACCTACCTGCTATCACTTTATATCCGGCAGAGCAAAGTCCACGCAGTTCAGTGAAGAATCAGTCTCAGTGTGTCCCTCCAAGTGTGGCTGGTGCGAGCAAATGGAAAGTCTTTCTCTGTCTGACAGGTGTTTCACTCCCTGAGCTAGTGAACAGGTACGGGCGTAAGCACTAACAAGCCCAGCCAGTCAAGGTAGGTAGATATGGGGTGGAGCAGAGAGTGTTTGTCTATTCGTGTGTGTGTGTGTGTGTGTGTGTGTGTATGTGTGTGTGTGTGTGTGTTTGTGTACGTGCATAATAGAGGTTGCTAAGAACTCATTTTTGTTTACTACATCTGTGCTTTGTTAATGGGAGTAAGCAGGCACATACCTGTCACACAGGTGACTGAGGATCAGCTCTGAGAGCGAGCTGAGGCAAGGGGAAGAGAAGGACGACAGCATGGCGAACACAAATGAAGCAACTTGCAGCGACATCTCCGGTGGGAACTCTGTTCTCATGCTCACTGGGTAGGGACACCCAGGAAGCAAAGGCATGATTCAACTGGGATCAAAAACAACATGCACAACTTGAACTGAGATAAGGAACAGAAACAGTCGTCCACACACCAATAAAAAATAATATACAGGTCAACCTAAGCATTTTTTTAAAATTAGAACTTTCTAGAAAATTCTAATTTTATATTAGTGTTTTTGTACAAAAGAAAACTCAAATCACTAACAATATATGTGTGTATGTGCGTGTGTGTGTGTGTGTGTGTGTGTGTGTGTGTGTGTGTGTGTGTGTGTGTGTGTGTGTGTGTGTGTGTGTTGTCTTAAAGAATTGATTTCCTCACATAATAGGGGTTTGGTAAATGTCAAAAATGACTTATTTGAACCTCTTGTGAGACATAATGCAGGTACAAAATAAAAATGTAAGTCTATGGTAAACAATGTTTGCTCAGCCTAAGTGACTGTCTGTGTTTGTACAAGTGAAAGACAAGAAAAATGATGAGTCTATGCTCCTGCGAATTGTTCAGCAATTTCTTCGACAAATGGCATTGAAGAGCACTGTGTGTGTGTGTGTGTGTGTGTCCATGGTGTGCACTCTTTGAAAACACAACATGGGGATCAACCTACCACTGTTTCTGTACAGAAAAAACAATCTCACACATGCTGCATATACATTTACAAAGCCCTTACAAATCAGAAAAAGGGTGTGAATAGATTTCGCAACATGTCACAGAGAGTAGGTGGAAGAGGAAATTAGCAAGTCTGAGAGCCAAAGTTTCACTCTGGTGAACACACTGGCAAGTGTAAACGCTCGAGTCTATTATCTACATGGATCCCTCTCCCCCCTGGAACACGAAACCAGTCTGACGGCCTTGCCCGGTGACTCTAGACTCTCGCAGTGAATCATTTGGGTGCTGCTGGCGTAGAATTAAAACGAGAATGCAAAGTATCTGAGCTCAAACTCCACCTTACTGCCACCACACCAAGACAGGGAATGACAAAAATGCCTCAACTAGAAAAGGAAAATCTCCGTAGCAGCTAATTAATACATTAAACATAAATATTGTGAAAATGAGGCACTGTAATGTCTACAAGTTCATAACATTTTATAACTTTGTCATTATCAAAATGACAAAATGACAGATTGAACATGGACATAGAAGGATTGTGGGTGACAATGCATTTCCATTGCCCATCCCATTGTTGTATTTGACGACAGTACTTGAATATTATTCTAGCAGTTTGCTTAACTTGTAAAAACACATGCCATAGTGATGATATATAGTATCTAATACCAGAGAGGCGGAGTTACTGCAGTATCAGAGTGCAGATAGAAATTGTGTTCGGAACTCGGGAAAGATGTGTGTGAATTATGTATCTTTGAAAATACTATGGCTAGTCCCATGTGTGATTGTTGGGCATCTCATTTGTGAAATCTGTCTTAAAATAATGCTCACATGCTCAAATGTGAAAAAGTTATTGATCAGTATAATCACTCTTCCCTCCCAGAGCCATCAAAAGAACTTCTAATTCTGCATTCGTATAATTCCATTATAAGAGACTGCCCTCATTCTGTGTTAAAATCCCTTCTTAAGTTTAGCCTGAGTTAATATGCAATTTTGGCAAGTGTGTATCCTCCAAGGTTTCAGGGTTTTTTTTGTGCAAAATTCTCTCTTTTCTTTTCCTCATATTAGCTTTGGCTGAACTTCAGGATCCAGTTTTAACACAGAATGAGGACTGTCTGTTACACTAGAATCACATTAAAAGGGACCCCTTTTTATATCCTTTGGACAGGAGGAATAATTACAGCAACCATAAACTGTTCCGTTTACATATGGGCATGCAAGGGTATGTATTTGGGTTGTTTTTGGACAAACCTTGTGCTTTAAAATGTGGGCAGTAATATGCTGCTCGGTATAACAGCCCACAATCTTTAAGGAAGGCCTTCCACAAGATTTTGGAACCTTTAGTACTTTGGTAAGATCAGCCACTGATTTTGAGCAATAAGGCCTGGCTCACAGTTGCCGTTCTTATTCATCGTAAAGATTTGGATGGGGCTGGGGTCAGGGCTGTGTGCAGGGCCAGTCAGGTTCTTCAACATAAAGTCCAAAGAAACCCTGTCTATATTTATGTGGCACTGTGAATGGGGGTGGGGGATGGGGCTGGGGTGTGTTGTTGAAACAAGAAAGGGCCTATCCCAAACTGTTGCCACAAATTGGAAGTGCATTACTGTCAGAAGAATCACTGGGTGTTGTAACATTAACAATTCTCTCAATACAAACTGGTGCTTATTAAACTACATTACAGCTAAATAAAACCGCCTCAAACAAAAAAAAATATATACATTCCCCTCCATATACTTTTGGCCATATAATGTAAAGCTAGTCATCTTTGTAAACAATAATATTCATGCAAGTTGTATCAGGAGAACCATCATTTAGTGGAATGTATTAAGGCAATTTGACATATCAGCAGCATGTCAATGTGTGTACAGCACATAGGTGAAACATGAAAATAGAACATGTGTAAGTCTTTGTAGTTTTCACAGTGTAAGGTCGCTATAGTTAAGCTGAAATAAACTGTTCACTAAGTGCTTTAAAACTTATGTAATATCAGACTGCAATGTGTTAAACAAAGCCAGGACCATCTGCTGCCATCTGCTGGCGAAAATTGCACATAAACGTGGAAAGGGCAAACAAATGCTTCATGTTGTGAGGTTTGGATAAAGATAAACTGTCTCTCCCCTCATGTTTGATTCGTCCATTTGACGTGACATCATCACTTCATTCTCACCATGAGCATAACTGTACTAACATCCACAGCATTACACGTCTCTACAGTCCTCATCTCCACGCTGCCGTCAAGCCCCTCGTCTGAGATGAGGGTAGCTCTCCACTGTGCGCGCGATGCCCTCCTTCAGACTGACTACCGGCTTGTAGCCCATGTCCTGCTTGGCACGTTCACAGCTGTAGTAGTGGTGGGTTCCGGCCAGAGCCACTCTCATTGGAGTAAAAGTGGGTTTGAAGGACACTAGCGGACGCAGGATCAGGGCCAGCAGCCACAGGAGCAGGGCCAGTCCGTACACAAGGGTGTAGGGGAGGTGGTAGCGCGGAGCGGCGTATCCCAGCCCCACTAACACGTCAGACATGAAGTCCCAGAATCTAACCGGCTCGTCATTGGTGATGTGGTATGGCTGAAAATGAAGCAGAGGATATAAGGCTAAATATTCAATGTTGTGCTCATCAGTAACTAATGCCTCTGCCAATAGCAAGACAATAGTTGGCTTGTTGTGAACTTATTATCATTATTATTAGAAGTAGTAGTATTAGTATTAAATTAATATTAAATTCAATTTGCCCCGCCATAGTTTCACATTGGTATCCCATGCGTGTATGTAACTAGCAGCAGGATCTCATGGATAGAATCCTTTAAACCAGCTGTACCATGAGGTTGGCTCCGCTTTTTGATTGTGTTTTCACTCACTTTTCCACATAAAGGCGAGTCCGGCCTCAGGCGTTCAGCAGCCAGGATGTGTCCATGAACTACATTCTCCACAAAGGTGAAATCTACCAGGTTGGTTCCATCACTGCGGTAAATGAAATAAAAGAGAAATACCATTGAGCACAGAAGACATAGGAAACAAGAATCAGCTGTCCCTCAGCACACCGGTACGACAGTCTATGGGTTGAATGACTACCTCACTATTGATTCCAGCTTTTCAAAAGGCAGGGTAGAAGTGGGTAAGCTGGTAAGAGTGTGTGGATGAAGAGTTAAGAAGTAGATTTTAGAGCTAGGAAGATGTCAGAACCCAGTGTTTTCACCCACAGTGAAAGGACATAAATACATGCAGATACAATCTTAAAACAACCAATATGAGTCAAGGTTTTAGATTTCATCCGGTAAAACAAGTTCCCAATAATTGTGCCAAAATGTGGTCTTTGTGCCAGTGGAAAAACACAGTTGCCATCACAGGTGGTTGATAGATTAGTTGTGCGCAGCACTTCATGTCAGTGTTTTAGGTTTACACAATAAACAGGTTTTTAAATCAAGCTCTGTGTTTATGTCTAGGAAGCCAAAACAGAACCGGACTGACGTTAGTTTCACTTAAACTGACTCCAATAAGTCACATATTTTCCTTTTGAAGAAGCGAGAGCAATTCCTTATAGTTCTATTAATGAGTAAAACTGGTGAATTGGCATCAACGCGATGAATCGATGATTCCCAATGATTACCCAATGATGAACTTCATCTTGCCCCTGCGAGCCGTATCCACCAGGATAGGAACCAGCTGTGGGTCCCGAGGGCCAAAGATGCCATGAGGCCGGATGGCAACAGTTAGGAAGCCCTTCTTCTTGTCACAAGCCTCGAGGACCAACTAAAACAAAGACAGAATATGGCAGACAACATGCGAATAACAAAGGAAGTCCAGGTACCCACTACTGCTGAAGTCAATATTAAATTGTTGTGGGATGCTGATGAAAATAAAGGTACTTGTTGAAAATAAAAATGTATATTCATCTGAGGGAGAGAATTTAAAAACTACTCAAATTACACTAATTAATTCAATTAAAAATCACTTATTTCTTTCCAAATCATGAGGAGCTGTATCGTGCTCCAGCAGCAGCTGAGTTCAGCACATCACAGAGTGAATTACTGGGCCACACTGATGAAACCAATAAAACTCAAGTTGAAAACACCGCTCTCCTACCTTCTCCTGTTCAATCTTGGTCTCTGTGTAGTAGTCGATGGGCTTCTTGGCATACGGTAGGTCCTCTCTCCCATTCTTAATGTCTGTCCCTTCAAACACCACACTGGCACTGCTGGTCAGGACCAATTTCTGGCAAACACAATGAGTGTAAACGCTTTTTCTCATCCTTAAACACTGAACAGTCGTGTGCATAAACAAAGGGAAAGCCAAGTCTCTCATCGTCTGGCTGCCTCACCTGTACTCCAGCCTCGATGCAGGCCTGAATAACGGTGCGTGTGCCCTGAATGTTAACGCTCTCAAACAGTGCACGGTTATCACTGCCAGGGGCTGGGGAGGCACAGTGGAAGACCAGGGACACATCCCCCAGAGCTGGCAGCAGAGCCTGCAGCAGAACCACACAGAAACCTCACAGCTATTGACAGCGGCATCTAAAGAGTCACTGGTCCAGGCCAAAGATGTGTTCATTTATAAACTGCTGGTAAAACAGATGTCTGAGCCATAAAGTGACACAGCATTTGCTTTTCAAAGCTGAGTCAACAGTGTGTTTTAGCTAACATCAAGCACTTTCAATGTGCTCAAGACTTGAATGCGTTTGATTCTGTAAAGTCAGGCCACTTCAATGGGGAGTCCAGTCTCACAGCAGTCCACTGGCTGAGAGGACAGCCCTTACCTGTTTGTCGCAGAGGTCTCCCTGGTGAAAGGTGACACCGGGCAGCTCGTAGCTCTGACGGATGTCAAACACAGAAACGGAGTAGCCTCGGTCCAGCAGCTTCTCCACCAGGTGTCTGCCCAGGAAACCAGAGCCCCCGATGACTGCACACCGCTTACTGCTCTGCACGACACGCATTGATACGTTTTAGCCAAACCAACAGCACTACAGCATCTGGTGATAATTGTGAAAACACAATTTTCTGAATCCACAACTTTTATCATAACTCACCGGTCGGACACGCGTGGCCATGATGAGTGAAAAGTGACCAACAGGTGAGCGAAGACACCGACAACTAACAGGCACTTTGGGGAGGACGGTTTTCCTGACAAGCAGAGCAGTCAGTGAAGAAGAGTGCTCCTAGATATCCAACACACAGATCACATATGTGTCGACTTTTCACTGAAGAAGCACAAATACGATACACCGTTATTCACAGTTAAACTTACCTGCAGACGAAGCGTGCAACTACCCCCGCGTACAAACCGTGAGCTGTGCGAATCAGCTGAGTGAGACCAGCTCTATGATTGGTGGAGCTGACGCTGAGCACAAAGGGGACGTTTGCCAACAGCCAATGGTGTTTAAAATACGTCAAAGAACGCCACAATTTAAACCAATAGTGGATCACAAACCGGGATCACAATCCGCCTCATAGTTAAAAGACCACGCCCCTTGAACTGCTGATTTATCCATCGGCTTCATTGATGGTATTTTTTAATGATTTTTTCTCCTCATATGTCGTTTTTTCTTGTTCAGATAATACATGAAATGTCGGATTATAAGTCGGATATCTGACTTATACACTAGTGCAAATGGGAGAAACGTAGGCCTATAATAGATGAAAAGAAAACTATAGTGAGTAAAGGGTAATAGCAAAATAAAAGGAACCACTATAGGATATAATTCCTGGCCATTTTATTAAACGCACACATTTTGTTTGACAGATGATAATTCTGTTTTATGTTTAATATTAATGTGGTAGTGGGTGATGGTGTGCACTGGAGAGCATTATATTGAGGTGTTTTAAACATTTTGTCCCATGGTGCATGTAAAAAGGGTTGGACAAGTGAAGTACTGTAAAATGGAATTATCACCTGCTTGACAATGTCAGAATAAAAAGAAAAATGCATAAACTTTGAAAAAATGGAATTTATGGCAGACTGGTTCTATTGGACTGTATTGTTGTATTGTACAGGTGGCCACTGAATATTTCAGAACATATTTGAAACTTCAGCAGCCATTCTTGTGTCACGGAGTGTGTCTGTTGTACTGTGGATCCTTATAATAATGATATTAGCTTTCCTCAGAGGTGATAATGGCCCTCTTCAGCAACGGAGGCATTGTCTGATGCATATAAGAACTGTATTGTAAAATTATTACATTTTTAAAAATCTTTTTATTATTCCATTAGCCATTCCTTTTTATCATATTATTCTCTATATTATTATTATTATCATCTATTCTATTAGAATAAGCTTTAATAATATAGCTATGATCTGCTGACACTAGAGGGTGTATTGAGGTAATTTCAGAGTAGCAGGAGCACCATTTAAATCATACAGTATATAATAGGAGATAATTTGCATATAAATGTTTCCCATTCTCCATATGCTCTTCCACTATTTTATATTCCTGTGGGAAATCCAAGGAGGTTTAACTTCATCCTCTACAGCTCTGAATTTTCTGATCGTGCCTTTGCGCCCCGTGATTTACAGCAACCAATCATCTTTTTGCCCGACCGGTGCGTTCGATTTTTACTCCAATTTGTGCCAGTTTGTGTCCTTGTTTGACGCCTCAGCGGTCACGAGACGACGCGCTTGTGTCCTGGCAGAAGGGGTGAAGAAACCAAACATCTCGACTCCATCGGGCAGCTGAACCTGTGCATGCTGCTGTTAGCTATAGACGTTTATTTTCTCCACATTTTGGCAGCTTTTCCCGCGAAATACACAGCAGGTTTTGTTTAATACGAGATTATCATACATTCAGTGTGGTTGAGCGGTAAATGCGAGTGACTGAATGTGAAGCAGAAACCGTTTGATGATCTCCTCCTCCCTAAATGATAGGGAGGCTTCCTAGCCCAGAGGAAAACATTGAATGCTGAATAGATCTGCGGTTCCTCTTTGTCAATCAAGTACACGGCAACTGATGGTGAGCAAAAATATCTCATGCTGTAATAATAATCTCAATATATGTTAGCGTGTTGCCACAGGTGAAGGATATTTAAATAGTTCCTTATTCATGTGGGTGATAGGTCTGGGGAAATGCCAATTTTCACCCAGAAACCTCTCTGATTCTGATATCATCATAGAATTTTTTTTATCTTAATCTTTTTCTTCTTCCTGTGTCTCCATCAGGCGACCAGTGCCAAGAGACCATCCCTGCAGGGTCCAGTGCCCCCTCCTCGCAAGAAGACAGCCCCCAAACCGGAGCTGACAGAGGAGCAGAAGCAGGAAATTAGGGAGGCCTTTGAGCTGTTTGACACAGATGGTTCAGGATACATTGATGTCAAAGAGCTCAAGGTAAAAAATAAAAAAAGAAGAAGACGGGCTCAAACACTGGTCACAACTAACCTGTGTCAGGCGGAAAGAAACATTTTCCTGTGTGTGTCTGTATCAGGTCGCGATGAGAGCTCTGGGGTTCGAACCGAAGAAAGAGGAGATCAAGAAGATGACTGGTGAGGTGGATAAGGATGGCACGGGGAAGATCTCCTTTGGCGACTTCCTTACTGTCATGACACAGAAAATGGTAGATATCTATACTGTATATGCATTTCCGTTCCATGCAACTCCCAACAGTGTTGAATTTGAACCTGCACTCCATCTTGTCAGCGCCATTTAGATTGACTTGTATTGCTTTTCATTGGCGTACACAAACTCTGGCCACAGTTTCTGATCTGGTCATTCTCTTGTCTCCAGGCTGAGAAGGACTCCAAAGAGGAGATCCTGAAAGCCTTCCGCCTGTTTGACGATGACGAGACAGGCAAGATCTCCTTCAAGAATCTGAAGAGAGTAGCCAAAGAGCTTGGCGAGAACCTGACAGACGAAGAGCTGCAGGTAAAGCACATAATTATGTAATAAACAACATTCTCGCATATGAACACTAACTCCTGCCTAATAAAAGCAGACTACTGGTTGTGTTTACAAAGCCAAGGGTTGTGACCGTGATTTTGAATAATGTCAACAAAACATTTGCTGACGAATGCGGTCAAACTAGCTTCATTTGCTTGCTGCATCCCTCCACTCTTCTTTTCATTTCCTCTTCTGCTGTGTGTTTGCGAAGGAAATGATAGATGAAGCAGACAGGGATGGAGACGGAGAAGTCAACCAGCAGGAGTTCCTGCGCATTATGAAGAAAACCTGCCTGTACTGAAGGAGGTGCATGACATAAGGGTCGGTGATACAGTGTCGAGAGGACCAGTGGTGGTTTTTACATGTGATGCTGCTCATATATCTAGTTCTATCTCAGAATTTCCCTTTCCTTATTATTACGTCGTGCCATTTTCGCTTAAAAAGGTTTAACTGTCACAGACTTCAATGAACGACTTGAACTATTAATCCATCCTCCCTTGATTTACATGATTATCTACATTACATTTGCCAAAAACGAAGAGAACACTCTCTTTCTTGTTTGAAATGCTGCATACTTTGATAATATTAACAATAATATGTCCGTTATTTTTTGTCAAGAGATTCTCAGTGCCTGCCTCAATACGGTAACAAACACAGTACATTCCAATGCTTTGACTGAAAACACAGTGTGTGCATTAAGTTTCATCCATCTGTAGGATGCTTGATTTATACGGCAACTCCGGTGTTTCATCTTTTCTTGTTTGTAATGTGAGCAGTTGGTTAAGCGCTGATGACTGGGGGAGTGCTGTCTCACCTCAGTGCTACCTGTGGATTTGTGCCTGTGCCTCTTAAAGGGGTGACCATCACAATCAGGGAAGCCGCCCGCCCTCTCTGACCCACACACCTTCCCCACAAGTCTCATCCCCTTTCAAATATGCTTGATTGTTGATGTATTTTTCTTGTAGCATTGAGTATTTATCCTTCTGTTGTGTATATTTACTCTGTATTCTTGAACGTTTTGTATGATATATATGGTGAATTAATAAGTAGATATACAGCATATTACAGTTTAAGATACAAATTAAATATCTTGAAGCAGTTTGTCCTGACTTTTATTTCTATTTATTAGAAGCATCTCGTTTGTGTGCAATAGTTATCAGTGTTTGAACAGCTTGACTCTGTTTCTACTCTGATTTCTCTGATTCTACTGCTGCTAATAAAACACATGTTGTTTACCTTTGAAATACAAATGAATTACAGGAAGATGCTGTTACCTGACATTAGCATATTGACTCAGCTATCCAACCATACTTTTTCAAACAATCAAGTAAAAGCGTGGCACAATACATGTGCAAAGATCTGTGCTGAACAGGAAGATCTTCAGGCAGTACAGGTAAAACCGGTTCAGTTTTATAAATAGCAGCTCCACAAATTAATTCTCATCAGACTTTATGACCAATTCTGGTTGATGACTTTGTTCCTGTGTGCAGCCTCTCGTATCCTCTGCTGCAGCTCTCGTGAGCGGTATCCATAGACTAATGGGATGAGTGACACCCCCAGGTTGAAAATGATGGTTGCTGCTAAATCAAGAGTATCGCTGTGCAGGTAGCCAGGGATCAGGTAGCTGTCCATGACCACAGGAACTGAAAAGAGAAGAGTCTGAACAGCCTGGAGGGTCAGGGTCACAGAAGCCCTCTTGGTGCAGAGCAGCCCTGCATGCATGTCCCAGCAGAGCAGGCAGAAGCATCCCAGGATGGTCAGAGAGCAGAGAGGCACCACCACAGCAGTTCCCACGGTGCAGTAAAGTAGCATAGCTGATGTCCCTGACAGGCAGGGTGTGAGGATGAGAGGTCGACAGCGGGGAAAGGAAAAATTCACCTGGATTGTGCTGAGGCTGATGCATAAACCTACACCGCTGAGCACAACTGATAAGATCCATATGGCTGCAACTATTGCTCGTCTCCTTTGAGGACACATCAAGAATTCATAGCGCAGGGGCCACTTGACAGCTACAAATCGGTCCACAGCCAGGGCAGTGCTCAGTAAGAGGTCCACCTGTGCAATAAGTGAAGACATAAAAGTGAGATGTTGCTTTCCGTTTTGGTTGTCAGAGCAGGGAGACCAGAGCATGAATACACGATTACAAACTACAACGTGGCCATACTGTGGCCATTTTAATGTAAAATAAGTTGTTAAAGCAATTCAAAAATACCTATCTTTACTATAATTTACTGTGCTTCCCTTTGGTCTAATTTTTCCTCTCACCTAATTACTTCATATAGTATATAGTAATTATTTCATGTAACATTTGACAATATCCTATTAAGAAATTCTGCAACTCCACTTTGGAGAGTTGATCCCATAATAACCTGAGGAAACATGAAATCCATGATCCAGCCTGTACAATAATTACAATAATGGAACAAACAAATATTTGGCTTTTTGCTTTGCAAAATGACTTAAACAATCAATTGATTATACAAATAATTGCTGATTAATTTGTGTTTGGATAATCAATTGACTGAGTGATTATTTCATGACTACAATGTAGACTGGTGCATGAAACATACAGTAACGCAGTATGACTAAAGAGAAAAATGGATTGCACAAGTGTAATCAACAAATGACAAACCAATGAGCAGGCCTGGATAGCAGCACAGAAGATCAGACAGTGGGCCACAGGTATACCTTCTCTGGATCTTAAAAGAACTGCTTTGACGGTCCAGAGGAGCTGCTGAAATGGTAAAGACGGTCATTTACCTCAAGGGACACATTGTTCTCACAGCATAAAAAAAAACCATAGACATTCTTCTTATCTATTATCTTAAAAGCTGATTGCAATGGGATTTGGAAAAACAAAGTCTAAACCTACTTGGAGGTTGTCACACAAGAGGAGGTGTGTGAGGAGCAGGAAGCGAGTGTGCCTGAGGAGGGATGGGGGGCGTGTGATGACCAAGAGTAAAGGAAGACTGAGAATGACGTTCAGGGTGTAGCTCACGCACATGCTGACCATCTTAACCAAGTGGAAGATGGTTGAGTTGATCTGCATCTGGGTCTCTAGTATTGTCACATTGCAGTGGACATCCATGACACAAAGCTCCCTTTGATCTGCCGCCCTGATAGTCTTGTTTCCTTTTAAAACAATAAAAGTCTTTAGCACCGAGCTATTTTCAAAAAACTAGAAATACTCTCACCTCATGTCAAATGAGAAAAAAATAACTTGTAATACACACCGTCACATCTGTTTTCAAAGTTGCTCTTCTCTGTTGAGAATTCCCAACACACCATGGTACGGCAGACAGATGGTCAGACCTGTTTCATTCTGATGGCTGATTTCAATTGCATCTTCCTTTTATGTGCCAGCAGCACATTTACTCAGCTTCACCATGTCAACGTGTCAAGACCTCAGGCCTAAAACCTCATCCCCGTGGACAGTGATGTGTCAACAGCTAGTGTTTGTTATCGGGATTGCATTTGCTTATTTATACAAAAGTCAGGGACGGCATTAACACATTTGTACAGAACTGAATTCTACCTGTCAATATTTGCCTGATAGCATAGGCACAGTCATGGAAACCATAATGCCATCCTCCTTCACCCACACACTGCCATATTTGCAAGTATGAACCCTGTAAACCCAAGGGATTGACACTGGATTAACATACCTGAAATTATATGATTAATGGTTAAGACTAATTTACAAAAACTATAATATTTTCTGTTCCAATCATAAACAAATAACTGCAGTAACTAAAAATAATTTTTGGCTAATATGAGACAAAATTAGTCTGGAATAGTTTTCTTGTCACACAACTTTTAACTGTTCATATATAAATATACATGTATAAAAGATGTCAAGGATTCATTTAATGTAAAATCACATTTTAAACTTTATTGTCAAATTGGAAAAGTCAAACCAGTCAAATATTTCAAAACATATGGATCTAATCATACTGATCTCCAGAATATATTCAATACCAAAGACAACAGGTGGTGTGAATTTCATGGACACTGCCTCATCTACACAATACACTACACAAAAACACACTCAAGAACACAAACTTACTGCTTAGGCTCCCTGTTACAGCATGTCCAGTCTTTGAACACATACTGACAAATACAGAAATAACAGAAAACATAAAAATAGATTCAATATTCACAGCTGCTCACTGATGCAAGACTTGTTCACTGAGGTATTTGAGTATTTGAACAGGTTTCCTGTGGTTGTGCAGCTCAGTTCACAGCTTTAAGTACAGCTACAAGCAAGATCTCAGCTTTAACTGAGTTTAGTCTTGGAGGCAAAGTCTGCACTAAGCTTACGCATCACGTCCGCGTGGCTTTGTCCTGCTAGCTCCTGTCGAACGGTCCCATAATTCTCTTTGACGAAGTTGGCAAAAGGTGTGGGAGCACGTGGCTTGGAGGGAGTCAGTAAGACGAGTTGACCTTTGCAGAGGGCACACATGAACCTCTGTGTGTCCAGTGACTTGGAATGACGCCCAATACTGTGAGGAATCATGGTAAGAGTCAAGTGTTAGGAATATTACCCAGTAAAAATGAAAACAAGTCTGTAAAATGCAAGACAAATAATAATAATGATAAAGATGATATGAGGTTGATAGTTGAATTTAGTCAGACTTACGTATTCTGGCAGCGGCTGCACTGGTACTGGAATTTGTACTTGATGTCATAACTGTGGCAGCGACTGACCATGGGCAGCTCAGGATGCACCACTGTGGACTTGCGAGCATAAAACTTCCAGATGCTCCCATGCCCGTCCCTTACACCATGAATGAGCCAGGTAGCAGCGTGACACATCTCATGAATCAGTGTGTCCCTGAGGCGATCTAGAAGGGAGGGACAATAAAATAAGACTGGCTATGTGGTGTTGAGATTTAATCAAATATATACATTTATACATTCATGAACAATCAAGCAGACACCATTTATTAGTTGAGTCTTTCTGGCTTACTAGAGCATTACCTGCAGAATCACAGACTTTCTCTGACAGTTCGATGCGGGCGTAGCGGCTCCCTCCACCTCGCTCTTGCCCTGAGATACAGAAACCGGCTGTCTTCCGCATCTTCTTATTCCAGGTCACTGACATATTGACAGGGAGCTAGAAAAGTAATGTCAGACAAGGAAAAAGAAAACATAACATATGTTAACAAAGCAATTGAACAATGTAAAATATTTATATATTATACAATTCAATTCGGAAGATATTTCTAAAAATATATAAATGAAACAAGGGCAATTGGTCATCACCTTACTGTCAAAGACACTGATATTGTAGAGCTGATAGAGTTTAATAGTGAGGTCTTCCTTGTTTTGCTTAAAATTGCGGCCATAGCTGGAGCCAGGGTTTGAAAGTGACTCCAAGAAGCACCCAGGGGTCTTACACAACGCTACCCTAGAAGAGAACGAACAGGGTGAAATAAAGACAAACATCAAACTGAGTTAGTGACAAACAGAAATGTTGCTCAATGCAAATAAAACATTACAATTGTTGAAATGTTTGTTGGAACATTCAAGGCTGTCCATAAAATTCGGTCAGCAGATGTACCTGCTGGTGGGACCGTGTCTGGGCTCTGTCTGACTGACTATGGGCTTCAAGATGGTGGATTTCCCTGGGGTTTTCACATGCAGAGGTGTTCCACCTGATGATTTCGAAGCTGGTGTTGCGAGTACCTTTATAGGAGGAACTAACGCAGGAGGCTCCTTACTGGACTCTAGATTTAAAAACAAGATATAGCAGCCTCACAACTAGGTGAAAATTAAAGCAAGAGACTACTGGAAGTGTTGGTGACAATAAAAATGAAGCAGTTACCTTTGGTGTTCTTTGGTGAGAATGAAGTGCTAGTGAATTTGTTTTTCTTTTTCAGTCTATCCAGCAGGGATGTGAACTCCTCCTCAGAACTGGCTGATTCATCCAGCTTAGATGGTGCTGAAGAAGTACGCTTGGGAGAGGTCAGTGACGTTGGAGTTTTGAGGGGAGGAAGAGAAAAAGGAGATGGGACTGGAGGCAAAGGGAGTGATGGCGAACTGTCATCTTCATCAGACAGCAGAGCATTATTCTTATTAGCTTTTGGCGGGGCTTTTGGTCGTGACTGACGAGTTCTCCAACTGCTCTTGATCACAATATTACCATCATCATCATCATCACTGTCACAAACAAAGACTGGGGAGTCACACTGAGACAGTGGTCTCCTCTGTGGACGCTGGGCTGCTGGAGTATTCCTCTTCTTAGGCACTGCAAAACAGGGGAAACAAAACATCATCATTACACACATTTAGTTCTATGTTTATTTTCTTCAGTACCAACAGTCATTCAAAGGTCATACCTTTATGTGATGATTTTGGCTGAATAAAGACATCATCTGATGAGTAGTCATCCACTATGAAGTTTTTGAGGCTTTAAAGATAAAAACAGGTAAAACAGATATTCTTAAAAAAAACAAAAAAAACAAGTTTTCAGGACAGTGACAATGCTTTTAAAGGAAAAAATATAATGCAAACCTACCTGTCTTCACTCCCGCTCTCTGATATTTTCTTAGGCTTGGCATTAGGGGTTTTCACTCGTTGCAGAACTTAAATATGCAAAACGATGGATTAAGTGAAGTGTAATCCACAATATAAAAAGATTTTCCGCATCATATTTCTGTTATTAGATTTTGACTCATTTATTGTAATTGTTTACAAATACTGACAACATTACACAACAGAAAAAGGCCACTTACATGTCTCAAAACTGCCCTCATCATCTGAGCTCACCACAAGAACATTTGAACTAGAAAGGAGAGCAGTGGGTTAGGAGGTAAACTGCAATGCCCCAAACCTTGTTGAGACAAATTAGAGGTAAAACTGTAATCAGAAACAAGACAAAGATTTTGCTTTATGAAAACACTTTCATTGAGCTCCATTTTCTCACCTGTATTTCTTTGCAGAGCTACATATTTTTGAAGTGGCAGGTTTAGCTTTCAATGAAGCCGTTCCCACAAGAACTGAGGAATAAAAAGGTCAAATGAACAAATTAGCGTATGTGCAAACTGACTCACACAATTTAACAATATTTATACAATTTAACTCACGCACACTGGTCAAAATTATCGTCACTGGAATCAGTCAAAGACTTGTTTCTGTAATTATTGCCCATGGAGCACTTGTTCTCCTTCTCCTGATCTTCTTCACTTTCAGAGAGGCCAAGCTGGATAGGCAAACATGTTGGATCCATCACTTGATGAACACTTGTGGCAAAACGACGAGTTTTGCCAATTTCGATTCGCAGCTAGAAAAAAATAAAGACAGACAGACAGACATTATAACTTACATAATCAGACATATTTAAGAGCATTTAAATAGGGCTGCAACAAACAATTATTTTCATTATTGATCAATCTGTAGGTTATTTTCTTTATTATTCATCTTTTTGTTGATGAAATGTAAGAAAACAAAAAGGTGATGTATTCAAATTACTAGTTTTATTCAACTAACCCAAATATATTGAGTTTACTATAATGTATGGTAAAGAGACATAAAAGCCTCACACTTAAGAATGTAGAAAAAGCAAATGTTTTTGCTTAAAAAACAACTACAGGAAGTAACTATCAAATTATCAAAACTGCAGTTTAATTATCTGTCAGTTGAACAAATAACTGCGGCACCTCTAGTTACATTCAAATATATATATGTGTATATATATATATATATGTTTGTGAATTGTTCTTTCTCCCAGTAACCTGAAGATAAATATTTCTTTACGCTACTTTAGAGGTTAATAAATTAGAAGAAAAACAAGTGCTTTTCTTTTCTTTCTGTTTATAGGTTAAAGTCTGCAACAAACCCTCTCTGCTGCTGCGTCCAGTCCCTCATCCATCCAGCCCATCTTTTTAGCAACGTTTTCAAACAATTTGCGAGTATCATCATTCATAGTGTCCTCTAGTCTGCGAAAACAGTAAACACACGAGCACGAGTCATTTAACAATTAAAGTACAGCACTAACATCAACCACATGATTTACAAGCCACAAAGTAAGGCTGGCTGACTATCAAAATGTTCTTTTTTTTCATTTGGTGTAAAAATAATTTATAAACACAACCGACATAGCTTACTGTAGCTAGGTTAGTGGAATTACTAGCATGTTGCTAGCTAACATTATTTTCTGACTGTGGACGCTGACTTTTTAAAAGCGGCTAAGTTTGAATTACATTTATGATGTTATCGCTCAAAAATATATAACTTGAAATGTGATTACCAAACGCGCTTCTGTTGTGGAAAATAGGAGGCAGAGGTGGAAGACGGAGCTGACGGAGACGGAGAAATTCAAATCTTGTGCTCCATTTCACCGGAAGTCGTCATGTACACATTCGGCCAATCGGAGAGAGTTTTAAATGACCGTGATATTGGCCCAATTCCAATCCGGTCTCTACCATCCTTACACACTCCCACTCAGAGTCGGAGTGTAACTTCGTGTAGTGTCACACTCGCGGCTGTGGAGGGTCTCTTCATTAAAGGGGAGGTATAACAACGGCAAGCTTTGGGACGCCCTCACCTTTCTCCGATGGAAACAGAAATTCATTGTTACCCAAAATATTTCAGAGAGAAATTGTGATTAAATCAATATTTATCTAAAAGATAATCTTATACACAGCATTGACAAAGATGTAAGTGTGTGGGCAGTGACATGGCCCTCATCACATTGATGGCAAAGTAAGCTCGTGAAAGGAAAATTATTAATTGTATTCAAAAAAAAAAAATTCACTCCCATGCTTCTTTGGCCGCATTTTCCTTTTTGGTGAACATGTTTTTTTTTGCCGTCTTAATCTAATTATATGCTTATTTTTTCAACAGTTACATTTACAAATATCAAGTAAAAAAAAAAAAAGAACTCTTCCCATTTTTTCGGGCACACATCGCCACGTTCATTCCAAAATACAATGCAATATCTAATTTCGTCATGTATGCATGGAAACAGTCCATCAAAGGTCTGTTTGAAGTACTTTATGACTTTTGACCTTTGTAAATAGTCACGGAATTCACATTAGTAGGTATGTGGCATTTCATCTGTCCCAGACTCAAAACGATGCTGCACTCGTCTGAGAGTGTGGTCTACTGCCTGTTTTTAAGTCTGCATCGATGCAGACTCTGTGTTGGAGGGCTTTGTAACCCACTTGTGGCGGACCGTTCACACGAACGTGCAAATGGAGTGACAGTGGGTAGGGAGAGAGGATCAGAATTGGGCCACTCTGTAAGACCACCACCAGAACGGATCCAAAGGCCATACAAAATATTTCATTACATTTAATTAAATTGTTCCGTTCAGTTTTGAGATACTTTAACTTCATCTGACTATTTCCATTTAATACCACCCTATAATTCTACTTTTAAATAGAAAACGTGACCGATGTAAAAAGTGTGATGTTGGTGAAATTACCAAGACATTTGGTTAAAACTAGAACATTATAATGCTGCAACCTATCAATGCAGAACTCTATAATACAGAACAATGGAATGGTGTTTTCCTATAATGCGCATGTGACTTCTATAATCAAGTATAATTTTGAATGCAAGACTTTTTCTCATAATTTTGGCATTGTGATATTGTTACATGTCCTGAAACATACATTCTTTCAGCTGTATTTTCTCTATCTGACCGACCAACCGGGGATAAGGAAAAGCAGCAGTTGCAGTGCCACAGTTCCTGTGGAAAGCACGTGTACCTTGCAAGTCACAGAAAGGTTTAGGCGTAGCACATGAAACAAATGTTCAAAAAAAGTACTGGAAAAATTATAGAAAAACTATCATGAGAAAATCCAAACATTTTTCAGTTATTATATAGATTGCCTGCACATGTTAAACACAGTAATGCCAAACTACCTTTCAGAATTAGGAAAAGGCTTGTGGCTGCAACAGTCTTTGTTTCTACCGACAACTGACTCAAGTGGGTGCAAAATACAGTACATAGTTTTGCCATCTCTTTATTTTTTATTATATTTAGAGCCTTGTGGCATCATTGACAGCATACAGTTAATGGACAATACAAAAACAAAAACTGCTTAGAAAATACTTACCTAGGCCGTTCCTTGTGTGATTAAAAAAAACAAGATCAATTTGTGAACAGCTCTGACCTCTGAACTGAAATTTAGGCCCTTTCAATGACTCCTCTGTCCAGCTTTGCCTGATCATTTTACAGAGCAGAGTGTGACATCAAACAGGACAATAGCTACTGAACATATTCCTTGATTGACAACAAAATTAGTAAAAGTTGGCATTAGGTGAGGGGAAAAAGTCTTTATCTAGACCATATTCCTCAAAACTTGCACATCTACTAATTGCAGTCATTTAATAACAGCTTAAGACAAACTAAAGAGCACTTGCAATCTAAGTTTTACAATTGCATGTTAAAGCTGATGAAACTTCTGTCAGAGTCACAATTTTCATGGTGCAACATTGTCCTTTTAAAACACACAACACTCTTTATCCATTTATAAATAGATCAACAAGTAATGATGGCTGGGCATTCTCTCCACAAGCTGCAATTAGTCCTGTATTCACACTGACAGGAGAAACAAAATCCACTGATCCAAGTACTGAAGGGTGTAGCAGGGCATTCACAATCCTCTCATGCTGACCAAATATACTTTGTTTAGGACAGGAGTCTCAGACAAGGTGCCTGAAAGTCTCAGGCGCTATCTGGCTCAGGAAATGCAGATGTGTGACAAATGTGATGGGGGGGGGTGGGGTGGCGCAAATGTGTACATCTGTAGGCTCCTTCACATTTAAGAGTCCCATTAATAGCAAATGAGAGAGATAGAGACAATCATTCCGGGAGAGGGACTGGAGTGGAAACTGACCATTCACACTAGGGTGCTGAAAAAAAGATGGTGGGGAGGAGGCTGAACATGGCTGGGGAATAAGGAAAAGAAGTTGGCGTGCTTCCAGTTCAGGCATTCTCACTGGTCTCTACTGTTTGGAATTTCACCAGGTGTTCTGGCTTGCCGCCATTGCTATGGTGCTCCCACATCTGCAGATACAGCCTCTCCAGGTCTATTGTGTACTGCTTGGTGTTGAAAAGAGGGCTGCAGATTCGCTGCTTCCAAACACGTGCTCTGACCATTTTCAGGCTGAAGGAGAGAGAAAATGGTCAGACTTCATGGTTTAGCAAACTGGAAAGACAAGTTTTTAAAATGAAGTGAGATCAAAATCTACTTACTATTCCATGTCAGAACCCAGTTTGACTGCTATATCCTCATAGTCCTGGCGACTCTGGGCTATTAGCTCAGGGCAGCCAAGACAGTTGAGTTGTGAAGCAGCCACACGAGAGGCAAGGGTTTCACCTTTCCAAAAAAAGGTTTTACAATTAGAAAGCAGCCTTCACTTGAAATTATTCCACAGATAACTTATCAAAAGAAATCAGTAAACTCAATTGTAAAAAAAGCTGTATTTTATTAGTTAGAACAAATGAAACAAAGGTTTTGCCTAAAACCCTAGTGTCCTCACCTGGCATGGTGACCATGGGTGTTCCAGCCCAGAGAACATCCATGCCTGTGGTGTGACCATTGCACAGTGGAGTGTCTAAGCACACATCAGCTAGCTGGCCCCTTCTCACATGCTCCTCCTTGGGTGCCACAGGAGAGAAGATGATGCGCGAGCCAGGCAGACCCATGTTCTGAGCGTACTGCTGGATGTTGGGCTCGCCCACAGCAGGGAAGCGAAGAAGCCACAACACACTGTTGGGCACACGCTTCAGGATCTGCAACAAGGGAGTTTTTAAAAGTGATTTTCAACACAAACTTAAGGAATAAAGTTTTCAAGAGTGCAGAGTTGAAGGAACACTCAAAGCAGTTGTTAGAACCAAGTCTGTCTAACTTACATTGGCCCACATTTGAAGAGTGGGGGGGTCAATCTTGTAGAGCTGGTTAAAGTTGCAATAGACAATGGAGTCTTCTGGAAGGCCATACTGGGAGCGGGTTGTCACAACGATCGTGCGTGGCACCTCCTCCCCAGTGGCAGCTTTGTTATTGATCTAAAACGGAACAAAAACAGTGTTTTATGATGGAGTATCCTCAATGCATTTGTTTAACTGGTGTTGATTATTTGAACCAGTTGATATTAAAAAGGTCCGGTGTGTAGGATTTAGTGGCATCTAGCCGTGAGGTTGCAGACTGCAACCGAATACCCCTCCCCTCACCTGTCCCGCTCTCTTTGAAGACATGAGGGACTCACTTCCCATTTCAGGTGATTATACACCATAAAGATTATATTCCAGTTATGCCAATAGATCCCCTTAAATCCTTCACACCTGTACATTTATGTGCTACCAAGACAGGTTAATTTTAAACCAAATCCATAGTGCCACCATTTACCCTCACCAACAATTCTGTGCTACCACCTTACTTTCATGAAACACCGTACCTGTACGGACACAGTCTGAGAGACTACAACCTCATCTGCTGAATAGATCTGGAAAAGCAGCAAGCTAAATTCAATCGCTAATCTTGCCTTTGTTTCAGCATTTGTAGACACTTGTAGGCCCATGCTATATATCTCAATATTTGCATTTATATTGACGATTGCGTCCAAGTCCGACATACCTGTGTGGTGGCCAGGCCATTGCTGACAGTGAAGCCATTGATTGTGACCTGGATTTGGCCTTGATTGATCATGTTGATGATTGCTTCAGCTGCGGTGTTCATGGGAATTACAGGCATGGACAGAGCTCCATTTGTGTCCCCGGCAGATTCCTGGTTGTTGTCACACTTCATCTGGTCACAGATAACAGTTTCAATGTAAGTGCTTGAATATAGTTAGGTGCCAATTCATTCAATATAGTATTTTTGACTGCAGGGTTCATATTAACATATTTTAATGAATCTGAAGCAGAAGAATCCAGACCATGGTTTCCCTAAGTAACATAAACCAAAAATAGAAAACTGATGAAGCCATTTATTGTTTCGTTCTGCTTTGTCATTCTGAGTGAAAGACAACAACATGAACAAATAATCAAACAATGCTGTCTAGAGGTCTGCATTGCCCTACTCACACGAAACTGGCTTGTCAATGATACAGATAAAACAACAACTCTTTTCTCAACTCACCTTTATCACTTTGACATCTGGCAGACTGTCCAAGAAGGCCTTCAGATCAATACCATTAAGAACAATGCGGTTGTCAAAGATGTGTCCATTAGACTTGAAATCAATCACTGCCTTTTTCTGTGAATTAAAGAAAACAAATGTTACAATCACCCTGATTATACTGATATTTGAGTTACTTTTCTTTTGAAAGAAGGGACAGCAATGTGAGGAAGAACAGACCTTGAGGTGAGGGAACATGTTGGCATGGTCTCCAATGAAGAAAGTATTGGGCATGTAGGCGAGTTTCTCAGAATACTGCTCAGCTACCTCCAAAGGTGACGTCTCCTTGTCACTGATGATGTAGTCCATGAAGGGAGCCCCACTGGTTCCTGGGTATCCCAGCCACATAGCCTGTTGATGGGAAAAAGAGACCAACAATTATTTGTGGTTTCTTTGATGCAAAACTATTTACTTTGTTCTCCAATTAACAGATCAGACTGATTGTTGCTGATTGATGCAGCTTTGTGTCAATTAGAAATCATAAGTAGAGTTTACCTGAATGGGGGCAGGGCGGAGGGCAAACAGCTCATTTCGGGCTCCTTTGGTGTATCCGTTCATGTTGACCAGAATGTGGATTCCATCCTGGTGAATACGATCAGCTGCCTTGCCATTGCAAGGGATCTGGAGGAGAAAGGTACCAGTTTCAGTAAAAATGGTTAATGTTTGACATTACTTACAACTTACTTACTTTTGTGAAAATGACAAACCATTTAGTTAAAAATTGAAATGCTTGAGGTTAATAGACACTCAGTAAATATACAAATATTGATAAAGCAGTAACTCCAGGTCATAAGTTACCTGAGAGAGGTCTGTGAAATGATGAGCCTCTGCTACCACTTTCACACGGAAGTTGGTACTATCATCAGGGCTGAGCGCGTAGCAGAACACCTTAAGGAAAAAACATATATACTCGTACGTTAAATAAATAAATATGCAAACTGGCAATAAGCACTATATTGTATTCTTGCCAAATTAAGTTTTAAATATTTCTAGAATTAAATTTGCAATAAATATCACCTACCTCAAATTTCTCAGGATTGTGCATTCCAGGAATGGACTGCATCAGGTGTGAAGTTGGGTGGTTGCCAAAGTCCGAGCTGACATAGCCAACACGCAGACGTCCACTGCTGGTCTTCAGATCCTTCGGATGCTCATAAGCAGGTTTGTGCAGTGCATTGATCTGTGGAATAAGCAACAGAATAAACAACTACAGCAAGATAACCAGTTCCTAGTTACATTGACTAATGTTGAATCAAAAACTGCCACTGGTTAATCTCTAATCTTTCAACTTCATAACATATACCCTTATCCCTGCAAGCAACCCACCACCAGCTTTGACCTTTCACCTTTTTCTACAAAGTTAAATCTCTCCAGTATCTGGCCCATCCCTTACCTTCCCCATATCCCTGCAGACAGCCACTGCCATCACCAGCCACCTTCCATCCCCCCCAAAAATGAATTAAAGGTTACTTGCTTTGATCAGTGCGTGTACCTTGTCCAGGCAAAGGTTTCCGTGGCGCTCAGCAATGGCCTTGCGGAAGCCGTGAGAGAGAGGGTAGAGCATGCTGTGGTGTGGGTGCACTGAAGGCAAGCGGTTCTTATCCAGCTGGTCAGCCACAATGCTCACAAGCTTCTTCATCCGCTCGTCATAATCTGTCCAGTCACACACAATCTGGAAGAATGATAAAAGTAACAGGTGAGTGGAGGTACTTCTCACTCAACAGCAACAAAAGATACATAACATCTTCTTGTATTGCATTATAATAGTTGACAAATATATGAGCATCTATGAACCTGCAGGCAATGCGCCAAGTTGCAGTAAGCATCAGGGAAGTCTGGCTTGAGTTTCAAGGCTGTGCGGTAAGATGCAATGGCCTCTGGGATGTTTCCAGAATCCTAATAGAGAGAAGCATTGGAATACAAAATAAAAATTCTTGAACTTGCAAAAAAACAGAGACATATTAAACACATCTGCCACAACAGGAATATTATGGTCACTGTCAACCCTGGACTTATTGTTCTAGTATTTGACATCACAATACTGTTAAAAATCACACATATCACATTTCTCCAGGTTGCCCATAGCAAGCCTTCTACTACACATAACTACATGCGTGCATTATCTGACATCCCCATGAAGCAATCAAGTCATGTCTTCTGAAGACTGTGTACTGTGTACTCTCCAAGAAACCAGGTCATAGGCAAGAAATTCTCAACACAGCTAGCTTCACTGAAAAACATCAGGGAATAATGCCAAAGTTGAAAACAAGACTTATCTGTACCTTGTGGATAGAGGCCAAATTGCTGTGAGCGTCAGCAAAGGCAGGGTTAATCTGGATGGCACGAGTGTAGCATTGAAGTGCTCCTTGTACATCTTGCATTTCCTTCAGTGTATTACCCATGTTTGAGTAAGCATCAGCAAATGTGGGGCTGATTCTGAAATCAAACAGAAACATTGTGTAACTTGGGAATTTATACATGTTCACCAAGTGGTGGGATTTCTGAGCAGTGATGTGATATCACACCAATATGATTACATATATTTAATTTTCTGCTGCTTTCTGCTACTTTCTACAACTATCATGGCATAATAACACAAATTAAGTCAGCAGGTACCTGCAGTAATAACATACCTGATGGCCTCCTTGTAGTGCATGAGGGCTTCCTGGAGTTTTCCCTGCTGCTGCAGGACACTGGCAAGGTTAGAGTGGGCTGCTGCAAACTCAGGGAACACCTGATGAAAAACAGAAGAGGTTACTAAGAAGAACGGTATAGTAATGCCATGCTCACATATACAGCAATAATTCCTTATCAAACCTGACACGGAAATATAAATACAGTAATTCACTCACCTCTAGGGCTTTCCTGTAGAGCTGAACAGCCTCCTCAATGTTGCCCTGCTCACGCTTGATATTGGCCAGATTGTTTAGGGAGTCAGCGTGGGTGGGACACAGACGCAAGGCTGTGTTGTAGCACTCTTCTGCTTCAGACACCTGGGAAAGATTATGGCATTTTAAAAGTTAAATTCAGTAAAATGCTAACTGACTTAAAGAAATCTGACAAATATTGACAAAAATTTAGTTACATAAGATGGTCCAGACAGGGGACAGATTAAGTACTGTCTTACATTGCCTTTCTCCTTCAGGGCATTTGCCAAATTACAGTAGGCGTCTGGGAAGTGGGGCTGCAATTCAATAGCACGACGGTAGGTGTCGATAGCCAGGTCAATAAGACCTTGCTCGTAGTACACACAGGCCAGGTTTCCATGGACAACCGCATGGTTGGGGCTGAGACTTAAGGCTCTCAGGTATCCAGCCACAGCTCTGGAAACAGATCATAGGGTATGGCACAAAATCAAACTCTTGCTGAAATTTGACATTGTAGTCCTCATCTTTTTAAATAACGTCTCACAAGCCATGGGAGCATTAAGAGTGTATCAAACAATTGTACACATTTTAAAGAACGTCAGAACTATCGGAGCACATTGTATACTGTTATAGATTTATTGCTGAAAATAAATCCACTGTTTCAGCGGCTGAGTTACAGTCCTAAACATGACAGCAGTTCTGGAGATGCAGCAAATCTGCCATAACTAAACAGTTGTATGTGAAAACACAGCTGCAAGACCAACTCAGACGAAGAGGTAATCAAACTGACAATGTTCTTGACTCATTCTAAACTCCACATGGGGTTTGGAAGGGCAGTGCTCTTAAAGACAAAAGACTAGACATGAATGCATAAAGGGAGTATCATACCATCTATTTCATGATTTAGACTTACCTATCAAAGATTCTGGCCTCCTTCAAAACGTTTCCTAAATTGATGTAAGCATCAAGGAAATTTGGGTCCAGAGTCACTGCCTAAAAATTGAAACCAAGCTTGAAAACATGGAACAACACAAAAACATACCACGACAGAAAGTAACAGGATTGAATAATGATTTTAAAAAACGATGTGACTGACCTTTTCAAAATGGTGTATGGCCAGCCATATCTCTCCCTGGGCGTTGAACACACAGCCCAGGTTGCTCCAAGCCACAGCAAAGTTGGGCTGAGTCTCAATGGCTTTCAGGTAACAAGCCTTCAACGGGTTTAAATTGAAAAACCACAGGAAAGGAGGAGTAGAGGTAGAATGGGAGAGGTATAGTTTGTAGAAGGGAGGACAAGGGATTGTAAAAAAAAAAAAAAAAAGAAAAAAAAAAAAAAAAAAAAAAAAGAAGATTGAGAATAAAAGTAAGAAAAAACAAAAAGGGCAGAGAAAGTAAAATTAGTGACTGTTCTCCATGATGGCAAAAAGTGAGTCTACAGCATGGGCTCGCGTGCGCACAAGTCTGCCGCGCTAAGCTGCATTGCTTTTTCCTACGCTGCGCAAATCCAACCAACACCCACACGTACGCCCTCATCCTGCAGTTATGACCACACTCTGACCAAATCTAGTGGTTCCCACACACAGGTATAGTCTGTTGCCTTCTACATTGATTAGTTATAACCCAAAGCATTCAATTAAAGTTTAAAAAATAACATCAAATATCTCTCCAATTTCTGTATATGTGGGCATAATATCTCACAACCTGGGATGCGAGACAGTTCGTGCAGGTGATGGTCCCTGTAATGCATGCGCAACAAACGCAAGCGCGCGGTGTGTGTCTATTGCCACCATCACCACAATTCACCATAGTATGCCGCTTGCGAGACCTTGCTCCTGGCAAAGGTCATTGCGCTTCGCCGCTGCGCTCGCTGAATGGCCAGATAAGACAGCTGCAGACCAACAACCCCTGGCAGAACACCTGCAACACCAGACTGGCACACACTCAGCACCCATGAAGTATCTCAGAATAAAGGGGGGGATTGTGGGGACTGAGGGATCATCCAGTGGCTACACTGTGATGTTTAAACATGGGGCATTTGGAAATAAACAGCCAATTAACAGTCATTTCTCACTGAGTTTGTAACAAGGAGTTGCACAAGACCAAATAAGTGCTTTTTTAGAAGCCAATTATGTCTGAGATTTGGGAGCATTTGGGAGCGAGGCTGGTTGTGAGTGGGGAGAGGTCCACAACCAACAGGCCAAAGGGAGTGAGGGGGTGGGGGTTGCATGCTTGCGCTTTCCGCCTTTTTGGTTTCTTGGAGGGTATCGCTGCGCAGCCCCTGCGCTACTGCAGACTCACAGCGCACTATCTGCATCATCATCAGAACGCTGCAACTCCAAATAAAGAAGGAAAAACAAAACAAAATAGGAAAAATAACCAACATGTAAGAGTTAGAGGGTTCTTACTTGTTTTTCTCGATTATTGCTTCCATAATCCAAGTTTCTTTTTTACTTAATATAGAATTGGGTAATTAGTATAGCATATGCTACTGTAATTTGTTTCGTTACTTTTTTCTTTTGCTCTTCAAAGGAAGCCACAAGATAGAGCTCAAGCATAAAGTGAGGTGGTTTTTCTTTTGTTGGCAGTTACAAACCCGTTACCATATTTTTGGACTTTGTCAGAGTGGTGGCCGCAGCTGGCTGGAAGAAGAGGAGAGGACTGAGGCTGCCCTAGTGTTCCTTTCCGCCAGGCACCTACGCAGGAATAGTGTCACCCACCTGAAACCTTCTAAATAACAATATCAGTTGTGGAAAAACCAAAAGAGACAAAATCAGAAAACAAGATCGTTAGTAAAAGTTCTCAAACAATACATTCTTTTTTTAAATATGGAAATAAAACAGGTTCTTCCAAATCACAACAAACAAAAACAGACTATTCTTAGTTTTCATTCATGCAATGAATGTTTCATTTCAAAGAAAACAAAAAGGTATGCCTTAAGGGTAACAGGGAGGGAAGAAAGGCTTTGATTTGTTCAGTTTATCAATTAAATAGTCAGGCTTCCAGCTTTCCATCAATTCAGTTTGCAAGTCAAACTACAGGAGGGCAGTTACTGGCTTGATCTTGCCCAAATGAACTGATCCCATTTCTCTGGGAATAATATTACATATTTGAAGGAAAAGGGAAAAAGTATTAATCATTGCTTTTAGTTTGTTCTTTTAGCATTTGCATGAAATATTTTTAAAACTTTGATTTCTTTATCCTGGCATGCTTTCTTGAATCCTGGCCAATGGGGTAGGGAGAAAAGTCTGTGGTTTAATTATTTGTATCTAGAAGCCTCCACAGTTCTGAAATAAAGAAGTCATCGCTGTTGCTGCGCGTGCTTCTGTCTTTCTAACCCAGCATCTGACGCGGGCGGTGAAGTACAAATTGTGAGCTGTCTGCCTGACACTGCTTGGACCATTTTATGGCATTTGAAAATTAGCTTTCATAAACCCGCACTTTAACATGTTATTCAATAGCAGTGGATATCAGAAGAGATAACCAGCTGAGTAAAATTTCCATCATCAACCACAGTTAAAAGGAAAAACAAATGCTAATGCAGGTTTGCATGAGCACCGATTGGGCATAGCTGAAGGGTCAGGAAGACAGCTCTAAGCGCGCACTCCACCAATCCTCAGCGAGCGCGCGGGGGGTGGAGCGACAGAGCAGGGGAGCTTGTGACTCCCTGAAGCTCCTCCCCACTCCTTTACCCCCCTCTAGCACGAAATAAGATGGCCTGTAACCAGTGGGACAACTCCACATCTCAAGATTTGACCCAACCCAGGGAGCCCCCTGTAATACAAACACAAGTTTTAAAGTGACAAATACAAGTGTAACACTTGAATGGGGAAGGGGAGGGGGAGGGGCGGAAACAACCCACACTGTCAGCAACTGACAGCAAACTGAGACCAAACACTAGTCATTGGGCACTTGATAGACAGTACTGGAGTATAGTGTTAGGTTAGAAACCATCTTATCTTTTGCACTGCAAAGTTAAACTAGCTTCTCATCAGTTCATGTATTCTTCAAAGACCGAGCCAGCATTTTCCCTCCAAAATCAACTACATGAAAATGCATGGGCCAAGGTTAAAAAATGACAATATAGATCCACTGTCAATTTATATACTCCAGCCTTTCTTCCTGAAAGGGGAGGGACTGACCTCTGATAAAAGGTCGGGGTAAAGCAAAGGACATTGGGGCTAAAAGTGATACAGAGGGGACAAATGTTATACCGAAAAAATATACTGAAAAAACAAAATGCATGACGCTGTCTAAAAAGTAGTCAACAGAAAGTGTGTGTACTATGATTTAAAAAAAAAAAAATACAGAAAAGTTGGTTGCCTCATATAGGTGTTGACTCAGTGCAGGTCCAATATTTCCAATGGTTAGGTTAGGGGTGGAAGCTCACTAACTCTGAGAAATGAGAAAAAGCTACCATATTCTATCCTTCATTTTGCCAAGGGGGTTGAAGGGAAAGGACTCCATGTGGCTTAAAAATGTCAAAAGGAAAAAAGGGACAACATCTATGGCCTTAGTGGGATACACTACAAACTAAAAATGTATGGAAGGAAAAAAAAAAAATCTACGAGAAAAACACAAACAACACATCTATACAAATGCCAATCCGCTGTAACATACCTTGGCCTCTTCCAAACGCCCAAGGGCTTTGAGCAAGTTGCCGAGGTCACTACGCACACAATAAAGATCCTGGGGAAGAAAAAAATGTATTTTACTGCTACAATAAACAACAGATCAATGTACTGACTACAAATATGTTTGCGTTTTTAGAAGATAGGTTTTCTGTCAATGTAAGGTTTTCAACATGGTATGCTATGTCACTTACAGGGTTATACTGTAATGCAGACACATAAGCCTGCACTGCTCCCTCCATGTCCCCTGCGGCCACCAGAGCTGCTGCCAAGTTGATGTATCCATCAATAAAATCTGGCTTCAGCCTTAAAGCATGGCGATAATGCTCTATGGCCTCCTGCAGTTGTCCACGCTCCTTGTACACATTCCCGAGGTTTGAGTAAGCCTCAGCCAGCATTGGGTTCTGTTTGATGGCCAATGTGCTGAAGTGAGCAGACCTGTTGGGCCAGAATGGGTAAAGAATGGTTACAATCCGGAAGGGAGTGGCTGGCAGTGTTGTCTCGATGTGTTGTGTAGAGGCAGCAGGAAGGCACGGTGCAAGTGGTGAGAAGGAGAGACTTGTTCTAAGGCTTAAATGTAAATGTTTAAATATTGAATATCCTTCAACTGTTGAAAACATTAGTACATTACACACAGTACAACACACATTTCACCAAAATCCAAACTTAGTAAGTTTATCATTTAAGTGTCAATTATGCAAATTAACCATTATGCTAGCACTATACTCCAAATGAAGATGTATTTGCATAGACATTTACGCTGAAGAATATGTGCCATATGTGATCAGAGTGCACATGGAAATATTTTTTACTTACTAGTAACAGTTACAGATCAATTGGTATATTATTACAGCATATCACTTAATAATTTCAGCCCTTTTCTGCATATTATCTGTCTGATTCCATCTAGTTCTGTATATGACACAAGAGTGACAACATACTCAATTCAAATCACTTTGGAGTATACTGCTGGCACTGGGTGTATTAAAAGAATAGAAAAAAAGAGAACAAGATCAAACATTTCAACCTGTAACTTGCAACACCCGAAACCTTCACCATGGCACCTGCAAAGCAAAGGTATGCCCACTAGCTAAACAGTGTTATAATTGAGGTGACAGCATGAGACGATACTAAACCAAGCAACCGAATTTCCAGACGACAGCTCGGTTTATGCATTTCACTCCCCAAGACCAGACGTGTGCTTTGAAAGTCACAGAAGACCCATTATTCTCTGCCACCTCCACGCCACATGCTCAGTGTGCGTTGAGTCAGTCCCCCCCGCCACACCTCACCTGTCGAGTCTTCGGCACTGGAAGTGGATGGAGGACAGGAGCAGCAGCACGCCTGTGTTATCAGGCTCCTGCCTCCACAGCTGCATGCAGTGGCGCTCAGCTGCCTCAAAGTCCCCTGACTGATACTCCCGGTGCGCCAGCTCAGCCAACCCTTGGAAGGAAAGCATACGTTTTGTCGGTTCTGGAGCACCAACACAGCCCAAGGAGGGGGGGAAACAACATGTTAGAGGTGATGGAAGAAATTAAAGCAGACAAATGAAAACTGAAAGTAAATAAAGAGATGAACCTAAAGCTGCAAATGACAAATAATGGTTAACAATTTGAAATCAACAGAAAACAAGGCAATGGGCAAATCAAAGGATGACTGAGATCAAATGTTACAATCATGACACGTGGGAATTTCACATTTTGATTTTAATTCTTGGGAGTCCAGATTGGATTAAAAATCAAATACCAATTCAGAAGTTCTGATGACACTTTGAATAACATTTTAGAGGGACAAATGACTATAACTGTCAAGTCACATTTCAATACAAATGCAAATAACGATTTTATCTGTGTTTTGGGTATATTTTATCAGTTGTCGGATTTCTGATTTACATTACTAAAGTCAATGTGTCCTTATCATGTCAATCATTATCTTTCATATTCATAATATCAAAAGACTTTCGATACAGAGTGACCTACAGTGTCACTTGAGCTCAGCCTTTTCAGGGTGTGGTATAAACAGCATGAAGCCAAAGACATATCATGCATGATATACAGCAGGGTGAAAGAGGTGTAATGGTTTGGGCACATTCCAACTTGTGTACAGTGGATCGACACACCTGGAAATTGATGACAGTATGCCAGAGCATACACTAAGATCGCAGTAGATTAGGTGCATCCATCCATGATAATTACGTAATAACGCTTCTATATACAAAGGACGGATAAATTTGGTTACATAAAGCAAGACCTGGCCAATAACCGGTTCGAGGAACAGCCTAATAAAATGCAGTGAATGAGCACAACTAGCAATCAGTCCCACTGATCACCTTTGGAGTGATCTCTACAGCAGTGTGACAGAAAAAACCGCAGCCATTATCCTTGGGCACCTGCGCCAACAGAGATGTCTATACGGCCTGTGATAAAAGCGGGACGCTTCAGGGCCCTGACAGTGTCCATAACCAGTATTAGCCCATGATCACCTTCAGAACCAATTGTGTTAATGGTGTTATGCTTTTTTAACAGAAGAAGCCATTTTCTAGTGTGTAACAAAATACAATGCCGCGTGGAAGTCGGCTACATGGGCTACATGTTAGCTAACAACAATCGTTTTTAGGCAAACCCCATTACGAAAATGTTGCACGTCTGTGAATAGATCAAGAATTTGCGTTAATACAGCGTTTGTACACTTGTCAGTAGTCGGCAAAATGAAATTTGCAAACTTATATAAGATATCCATTCGTTGCAATCTACGGCTAACTGCTACATATTAAGCTAACATACGTTACCATTAGCCCGAGCCTATCCCTCTTACTCCAATGTAATGACATAGGAGTCACACTGGGCCTACGTTGCCAATGTCGTCGTGTTTAATGAGTAATACAATAATTTTAAAAAAATTTTTACTTGCTCGCCACCAGCGCGGTCCCATCGGCGCTGAAGATGGGGCCGTCTTCACAGCTTGCTACGTTACTTGCCATAGCTAACATTAGTTAAGTAGTAGCAACCAACCTGTGCTATCAGCCACGTTTCCCACTGAGCTCGCCATCTCCTCAGTCTTCGTGTCTTGCACGGTGGTCGTCAATGTGTCTTCTTGAGGGTGACACTTTCAGAGAAAAATGTGCGACGGGTCGTCTTTGTCGGCCGCGGCCAGCAAACACGTTACCAGGCAGGCTAAGTAGCTCACTAGCTAACCCGATTTCCCCTACCTTGTACAGAGCTTAATGTTGATCTTGCAGTTGTTAGTAAATAGATGGGTAATAATAAATCATCTAACCTTGTTACAATACCTAACTTTTACTGATGTAAGCTATACCGATACTTGAAGGTTCAAGCTGGTGTTCTCCTCACAACAAAGCAGCTATGGAACATGAAATGGCGAGATGGGTGGAACTCATTTTTTAGAGAAACTAGATCCGAACATCGCCATTACGACGAAACATGAGTAAAATTGCAATAAATATCACATAAGTCAAGTAATAATTTATAGGATGTGTGTTTGAAGTATTGTTTGCTAATCATGGATTATACATTTCACCTACGAAAAATTTACCGGTTGTGAATGTTACTACGCGGAAGGACACACTGCTGCAGTGAGACGGAGTGCAAATGATATCCGGGTGTTCTAGAAATAAAATTCTGTCGATTTCAACATGGCATGTCATCTAAATATGTCTGATGAGCCAATGTCTGCAGTATATAAGGTAACAAATCAAAGCAATGATACAGGATAATAATATTATACAATTATTATTGGTTAAACCAAAATGCAGGATTGCATTGAACGTGCCTCTACAATTTACCTTGCATTTTGAAAAGAGTAGGCCTAAATAAATTCAGATAAGAAGTTTAATGGTGGATGTTTATTAATCCTGCTTTAAAAAAAACAGCACAAGCAATGCATAAGTGCAGTGCCAAAATTAACAAGGCAAACACACAGTAGTGTACACTGTTTTGTGCAGTAGATATGCACAACTATGAATTTCTTTAACAAGCAGAACACATTAACACTAGTTTATTAAATAGAACATAATTCCAAAGATATTGCATCGTTAACCATTTTAGGGAATGTAATTTTTTTTGTTTGTTTGTTTTTTGGTGTAACAGATGGTACTATCCAGTGTCCAGGGGCATACAGTATTTTGAGTTAAATTGTTTCAAAATATAATTAAAGAAAAGCAATTTCCTAATGCTACCTAAGTCCAATTTTGAGCCATTTGCATAATAACATAACCTTTGAATAAGAGTTTTGTTTATCTGTTTTTAAATAATAATAGTGTATGGGAACCAAAATGTATAACCAGTAAAGTAAGCTGAAAAAATACTGTATGTGGTCTGCTGTACATGTAGGATGCAAGATTCATAATCACCAACAGAGGGCAACCTATTGCAAAGAAAAATTTCTGGAGCGCTGCAAAGTGGCTATGAACGACTTTGCCTTATATTTTATTTTTTCTACATGTCCCACATAAATGACATCTGCCTGCCTGTAGTTGGCAATGGAACTCTCTGGCTTTGATATAAGACGGTGTTTGTATTCTGCTAATAAACTCCATTTGCACATTTCCCACCACTTCTTCAGTTTATTTATTAAACCTATAAGCATTTTGGCCAACATCGCAGTTTTATTACAAACCTCAGTCAATACTCATTTGCAGCCTGAATTATAGGCAACATAGTCTCTTATGTTATTACATTACTATGTAGAGACAGTATCTCTTCAGTTAACATGTTTAACACGTCAATTTCAAGGATGTGGCCCGTGAAGTGATCAGTCAGTCATTAACATGCCATTCTGCCCTGAAGATGTTGAAAAGGGGGCTACTGCTTGCTGCACCCCAGTTTTTCCCATAGTCCCTCTATGGGAAAACAGTTGACATCATTGCTCATGTTGGCTTTGCGCTGTGTGCTCAAAGCATGCATAGGGTGCAGGGTTTGTGTACTCTTCTACACGTTCCTCTCCTTTGCTCTCACTCTTCACACTGCTTAGCGGTCACTTGTGCACAGAATGATGTCATGGGCACTGTGTGTCTATGGCAATCGCATCTGACATGCTTTATCTTTGTGCAATCTGCAGTCACTAGGAAGGCAGTCAGGGTGAACACATCTTCTTTTGCCTAAAGGGTGGGTGACAGCTCTCCACAACAGACCCTGCTTTCACAAAAGCTATTTTAGGAAGCACGTGAGAGCAAGAGGTTCATTCACTCACAGGTCAATTTGGACTGGTTGCTATTAAAATCTCAGCACAGCCTGGAGATATTGAGAGATTGTTGTGCCGCTTAATTGCCAGGTCAGAATATTCTGCTACCAAATGAGTGGCCTAAATTATTTCAGCCCATTTATTTCAGGATAAGATCCAATACAAGTTGATGACCCACATTATTTGCAGTGTTTTGGAATTCTTTCCTGGATACTTGAATAGGGTTTCTTTGGGATACAGAGGGAGTTATTTGTTCATTAGTTAGATATTTTTGCTCCATTCAGTGACTCATGTCTTACACTGCATGAGCTCAGACAAACATATTTCATTGTAATGAGTGAATGTTCTCTTGCTCACTCGCATCTGGAACAGCTATCATGGGCAAGTATTTCAGTACCTATCTACAGTTTCAGGCTTACTGATCAGTGAGTCCTCTTGATTTTATGGCTGGTGTGGTGTTGTTGGTGTTTTCCAGACATCCTGGTATTCAGAACTGATGCTCCGGCCCTGCAGGGAAACTAAAACAAAGTTTACTAATCCTTTTCTGGATGAAATTAGACACAACCATCTGTTTAAATTGCCAAGAAGTAGAAATTCATGAAGAAGTTGAAATTCATTTTACGATGCTGACATAGCGAGACCAAACTGATGTGCCACAAGAATTACATCTTTATATATAAATGCCCTGCAAGATAGAATATTTACAACCAATCCTGCAGCTGCTAAACTTGCCTTTAGGATTATAATTTGCATAGAACATAAATCACGGTGATTGGGGGAAAAAAAACAAATTACAAGATTGCTAGTAAATTGTAAATTAGATGAAAGTTTGAATTTAATAAATGGCAGAGAAGTAGACAACCATAATTTCTGCATGAGTGCAACACTTTATTGCTTTGCCAGATGGCTTGCAGCAACAGACATATGTGTCACTATAAGCTTCCTCTCTGTAAGACAGGCAGCAAAAAAAAAAAAAACAGAACTCCGCAAGAATAACTCTGCTGTTATAACATAAGCCCGCATACCTGCTGTGACTGTTGATGCACTAACACAACAAGACTAAGATGAGTCAATTTTAAAACTGTGAAGCTGTAAAATCATTGGTGATTTAAGGTATTAAAGTCCCTATTTCATCAGAGCTGAGTTTCCAAAACAACTGAAGTGTGCTAAGAATAACTGTACTCTGTGGAAAACACTTGGACCTTTAGCTGTAAGCTAGGTTAATCATCAGGTACTGGTGGTTTGATTCATGCTCCTGGCCTTTATTTAAGACATTTGTTAGGTGCAGACTGATGTTTTATAGCCACACATTTTGTGGTTGGAAGTTGTGTCCGAACAACACAACTGTGCAGAAAAATGCACTGCTGTAAACTGTTTGTTTCTGTTTGAAGATGCGTTTAATACTCACCTCTTCCGGGGTTATTGCAGGCGGAAAAATACAGATAGTCTGTTTTAGTTTACTTTCATATTAATCATATGAAGTTATTGAGTGCAGATGGGAACAAACACTTACGGCAGATCGTTATCATTCGTCATCACTTAAGTCACATAACAACACTTTGAAGTACTTTTATATTGCACTAGGTTACTTTACACTTTAACCCTGCCTGTTTCTGTGTCCATCACATTGTCAGAGAGCAGAAACAGGGCAGGTCAGGGCTGGTGTTCGCAGTGAAGGTGTCAGGACCTGTCTGGTGCCTCCTTTAAATCTCTGCATTCATCACCTGTCGTCCCTCTCTGACTCCCTGACCCTTCCTATTTCACCCAGTCTGCTCCTCTTTTCCTGCGTCCCTCTTCCTCCTCTCTTTGTGAGGAGGAGAGTGGCAGTGTGGAGGGTCTGGTGACACCTCTCATGACAGCAGCTGTCAGTCTCTCCTATCAATTACACCGGCTGACTGACACCCTCTCCAACCCTGATCCTAGCTTTTTATTCACCCTCTGGGCATGTCGACTGCACACCAACTCTGGCCTAGTCACCTCACTGATGTAGACCCCCCCCCCCTCAAAAAAAGGCTACAACTTCTGCATGAGGAGAGCATTGTCAATCAAAAGCACAGATTTTACTCTAGTAATATTTTAAGGATGTACATATGCTGCACAGTGCAGCTCATTCTAATGGCAAAGATGTGACTTCTCTCAGGGTTTAGACTAAATCTCCCATGTAAAAAGTCTCCTCGGATGGAAAACTCCACCGAATCCGGCTTTGCCAGATCTCATTTAGATCCACCTGAGGGGGAACAGAGTGGCATGCAATCCCAGAGACGGGATGTCTGGGGTGGGGAAGGATTAGAGGAGACTCCCCCTGGCTGGCAGGGGTTCTAGACTATCTGAGAGGCTCTCCGTGTGTCTTTGTGGCCATGTGTTGTACAGTTGATGTTCCAATGTTGTATTTTATTCTCTGTAAATCAGTGTGCAACCTCAGATTTTAACGCCCCTCGTCTTTCATGTCACGTCTTTTTTTTTTTTTTTTTACTTTTATGGTTTTACACACTTTATTTTTTTTTTAATCCTGCAGATCTTGTTTTAATTTATTTTATGAGTGTGATGTTTGCTTTCACTTGCTTGTTAAAGCACTGTGTCAGTCTGCATCAAACACTTATCCCCTGTTATGTTCAGTTTGTTTTATAGTGTTATTAACTCTTTCTGTTAGATATTCGTCTCTTCTTTCCCTACCGTTTTAATGCTTTGTTGCTCTAATTCAAAATGAAGTTGACAAGGGGCCAACAGAGCATCTCCACTACATACAGTAACACTGGGAACTGCTTCTCTGTGACCTCTCTCCTCTTTCTGTTGTGAACAGACTAGAGCACTTGTTGTGGCCTATCCCTTTGTTTGTTTAAGATCAAATGGCAACATTGCATCCTCAAAATGAAAAACACAAATAAGCTGTCAGGGGATATCCTTATAATTACCAGCTGTACATGCACTGTAAACACAGTGATACAAGAGGGAGGACTGATGTTGCTCTGCAGGCCTGAAGTACTCACCAAATCAAACAACAGTCTGCTTATGTGGTGGTCCTCTTTCTGTAAATTAATGTGGATGTTCATTCACCTGGTAGTTTCTACCTCTTTTGGCTTCTCTCTCGGTTTCTCTACATCATTCAAATGGCTTTCTTCACCAGTGACAGTTACAGCATAATTGACCTGTGGCCA